AGGGGAAGGAGCCGTAGGGTTGTGGGGAGCTGTTGGGGCTGAAGGAAGTGTGGACCAGGGTGTCCCGGAGGGAACGGTCCCTGCAGAAGGCGGACAAGGGAGAGGAGGGGAATATGTGTTTGGTGGTGGCATCTCGCTGGAGGCGGTGGAAATGGTGTCTGATGATCTTCTGGATGTGGATGCTGGTGGGATGGTAGGTGAGGATAATCGACCAACCAGGTTGTACCTACTACTGGGGTCCACCTATCACCACCATTCTGCTACCCCCACCCCCCTCTTTATCTGCTGCTCCTTCTAGCCCCACATCCTGTCCTGAAGAAGGGTAATACCCGAAACATTGACTTCTCCTTTCCTCCAGATACTGCCTGGCTTGCTGTGTGTCTACCTTGGATTCCAGCATTTGCAGTTTTTTGTCTTTAACCCATTTTCCTTCATTATTTTTGTGTCTGTTGAATACTTTGCTATTTGTTTTTGAAATCATTTATTGTTGTGCGTTGCGGTTTCTTTATCTTCAATTTTTTAAACTTATTTCCTAACCTCTCTGTATTCCCTTTTGTTGAGGCTTCTTTTTTGAATAGTGTTAGCCTTTTTAAAGTTTCAATTCTACTCTTATTTCCTTTGCATCCTTAGTATGTCATCACTTGCTAGTTTGTACATGCCCTCAAGTGGAATTTATTTTTCCTGTACCTTATTGATTATTTCCTTAAATGTTTCCACTTCTGATTCATTTCTTTGTTTGTCTATATATTTTCTCTTTTATTTTCCCTCGTGCCATTCTCATCCCTGAGAATATGTTTGGCTCAGAATCAAGGGGTGCCAATTTAAGGTTGAAATGAGGAGGCATTTCTTCTCTCAGAGAGTTGGGAGTCTTTGGAACATCTTGCCACAGAGAGCTGAGAGGGCAGAGTCCTTGTATATATTTAAGGCTGAGAAAGATAGATTCTTGATCAATTGGGAATCAAGGGTTATGGGGAAAATGCAGAAAAGTGGTCATGGGGAGTGTCAGATCAGCCATGATCCTATTGAACTGCGGAGTAGGCTTGAGGGGCCGAACAGCCTACTCCTGTTCCAATTTCTCATTGTCTTATGGCCAAATATTTTGTTTCTTATGTATTATTTTTAAAACATCATCTTAATGTTTATCTTAAACGTATTCTGTTGTTATTGCTATTGCCCCACATTCCTCTATGCATCTTTCATTTCCGTTTCCTTTCCTATCATTAGATCCAGCAATGCTCCCTCTTTTGGGTGTTTTACATACCAGGTAAGACAACTACAGTCTGCATGCTGCAGTGTAGAATACACTGTAAACGTTTTATTTCCTGTACTCCTTTTAGCACATCTTGCTTAGCTCATTAAAATGGGCCAAATGGCTTCCCTTTGTTCTCCATGTCTCTAGATCCTATAGAAACAGCTATCTTGTAGACAGATACAGGCTGATTTCTTTTAGTCCTCTCAGAGGTGTATAGAGAAACACATAAATAAAATGTTACACAAAGTGTTTCTTCATACCTGAGAGACCTCTGAATCATGTGATCCTTTCTGAGCTATGGATCCTTTACAAATGTGGGTGGGAAATGTTAATGTACTGTGGCCAGTACAGTATGCTTCTCCTCCAATAATTCCCATCCTACGGCTATGTAAGGAACAGGTGCTAACTCTGAAAATTAGATGGAGAATGATAAGTGCAGCGGGCAAAATGCTGCACAAACTCCACTAGACAGGAAAGAGCTCTATCAGTAGCTTTATAATGTATTCCCAAAACTTTGAAAATGGTCAAGTTAATTTCCAGCTGTCCAAGGATCTCTGAAGCCTTTTTAAAATTCTGAACTTGATACCAGATTGAAGTCATGCTCAATATATAATACTCCTAGACAGTGTGAGGCATCCTTCCCAAGCAATTCCAGAGTGAAATGGGAAATGATTCCAGGGTCATGCCATTGTTTTCATCTTTATGTGTGTCTGAAACTCCTCTATATTAAAAAGAGGCTCTTGTGGGAGTCTTCGCTCTCATAAGACAATGGTTTGTATTGTGGTAGTGAACTCTGCATTAAGCATCACATAGTGTGTTCTGAGTTCTGAGGATCACTTGACCGGAAACGTTAACTCTGATTTCTCTCCACAGATGCTGCCGGACCTGCTGAGCTATTACAGCAGTTTCTGTTTTTGTCTTTGATTTATAGCATCCGTAGTCCTTTTGGTTTTTATCACCTAGTGTGGCTCACTGTGGAATGGTAGTCTCCCTCAATTGCTGTGGAGGAAGACAGTGGGATGAGAAAGTGCATGATTTGCAGGTCTCTATGTTTTTCTCAATTCAGCCGTCTGGGTTGGTTGTTTCTGGTTGCCTCTTCCAATATCTTTCCAAACAGTCTGCCTTCAGAGACCATAGCAGGTTGCATCTGTTGTCGGAATCAATACCTGCCACCTTCGTCTCTTCCTTGTCGTGGAAATTTAAATGCTCAGGAGGTCATAAGTCAGTTGCTAATTCACTACACAGAACATAGAACATAGAACAGTACAGCACAGTACAGGCCCGTCGGCCCACGATGTTGTGCCGACCTATTACCCTACTAAGAAGTTCTGGGTATACAGCCATCATCCATTATTAGCCTGGCAATGACTGTAGGTTGATAAAAATTAGCATGCTCCGGGAACTCTGAGTGATGATGTTGTCTTGTCAAAAGATGCTGAGGATACAGCAACAGCATCAAGACAAGAAAGGCTATTATCCAGCATGTTGGCATTGCATTGTTTATCAGCATTGACAATGTGACACTGAATGTTGTTTAGACATATTCACATATCTATGTTCCACAATTCTCAACAATCTGTGTCTTCTTGATGAAATCAACGGATGTATCATAAAGACGGGAGCTGCTATGTCCAGTTGAGTAAGACTGTGGCACAACAGCAACGTGACTGGGAAAATTGAATCTCTTCTACAGTGGTGAGATCTGGACAAAATATGCCGGAAAGGCAAAAATTTTTAATCGTTTCCACCTTTGCTACCTCAGTCATGTCACTGGATTCTCTTGGTCGATCATCAACTCTACCCTTTCAATGTATATTAATATTGAACAAAAATATAGTTTTTAAAATTCAGTTGTATTCATTATTATTTTACGTCCACATGAACCAAATTTATACCCCTACATATTATGGTGAAAATAATAAAGAAGTAAAGGCTTTGGCATTCTTGTCTGTTTTATTGGTGGAACTAAGGCTCCGAATACTTGTTTTCTTTTATGTATATATATTAAGGGATTGTCCTGCAGTAATAGACCGTGGATGGAATAAAATGATAGTAGGCTGTTTTTATTATAAACTTGTGGATAAATTTGATTTCATAATTATAACGTGGGTTCACAAAACAATTTCAAGATGGAATTTGAAACCATGTGGTATCCATAATCTTGGGCTTTGAATTAATTTCTAAAATACAGTCCCCTCAGGTTCGCACGTTCAAAACTTTGAGTTAGTTATTCACAGTTCTGCACACAAAGACAAACTGTATTTTTCAGGTCAAGTGTGGTTAGAAGGCAGAAGATATCTGGACCAAGGCATATAGTAATAAAACTTTGAAGATGTTTTCACATCTCGTTTTAGCATCATTCATTTTTCATTCTTCATGCAGTAGTGAGACAAGTGTTACAGTGCAAGAGGTCAATCAGCCAATCATGTATGCACCAGCTCTTCACATGAGCATCATTCCCATCTATTTCTTGCTTCTCTCCCATACTGTTTCAAATTATTTATTTCAAAGTAATCATCCAATGCCCTCCTGAATGCCTCAGTTGAACTTGCATTCCCCACACTTCCAGGCAGTGCATTCTAGACCCTACTGACCTTGGCATCACATTTGCTTCTATTACAAATTGCTTTAAATCTGCACGCCCTGAATCTTGATCTTTTTATGAGTGTGATCAGTTTCTCCCTACCTGCTCTACCAAGCCCGCTCATGATTTTGAAAACCTCTATCAGATCTCCACTTAGCCTTCTTCTCTCCAAGGAGTACACCCCAACTTCTTCAATCAATGCTCATAAGGGGGAGGCAATGGCCTAGTGGCATTATCACTGGACTGTTAATCCAGAGACCCAGATAATGTTCTGAGGACCTGGGTATGAATCCTGCCATGGCAGATGGTGGAATTTGAATTCAATAAACGTCTGGAATTGAGAGTCTAATGATGATGATGAGCCCATTGTTGATTGTTGGGGGTAAAAACCCATCTGGTTCACCAGTGTCCTTTAGGGAAGGAAACTGCCATCCTTACCTGGTCTGGCCTAAATGTGACTCCAGATCCACAGCAATGTGGTTGACTTGTAACTACCCTCTGGGCAATTAGGGATGGGCAATGAATGCTGCCTGGCCAGTGATGCCCTCATCCTGTGAATGATTACAGGAAAAAACCTGAAATTCCTTATCCCTGGAATTATTGCTGCAAATTGCTTCTGCACTTTCTCCAATGTGTTTGCATCCTTCTTATAATGAGGTGTTCACATGCTGAGCGGGAGTTGAAAGAAAGGCTGGAAAGCATTGTGAAACACTGAGGCAGCCGGTCAACAACTCTGCAGGGAGAGAGTAAGTAAAACTTAATGTGTCAGGTCCATGATCTTCGCTTTTTTTTTTAAACTCTTGTTCAGCATGTGGCCACCCCATTATAGGAAGAATGCGAACACATTGGAGAGAGTGCAGAAGCGATTCGCAGGGATAAGGAATTCCAGTTATGAGGATTGATTTAAGAAGCTGGGGCTGCTGTCCTTGGAGCGAAGAAGGGTAAGTGGTCTTTAGGAGATGTAGCAGCAGGTTGCAAGGAAGTACAGAAGCAGTGTGGGCGGGGGAGGGGGGCTGTTGGGAGAAGGGAATTGGCCTAGCTGAGGGGGTGAAGGGCAGGAATGAGTGAAAAGCAGTGGGGTGGGGAAGAGGATGAAAGTCATGTTGTGTCCCCTTTAATTGAAGTTGGAGACACCTAGCGGTGATGTCACCGCGCTGATGTATTTTCCAGGGAGTGCGGAAGCAGATTGGAATTCCAGCTCCAGCTCAAAGAAAACCGGGTGGCACGTTGCAAATCCGAGTTCACCCCGGCACAGGTCTCAAGCGCTTCAGTAAAGAAACTAGCCCTGCACCGCTCAGCGCCGGGTTCCCTCTGTACCGAAGTCGGTGGCGCCCTTGATAATCTTATTTTCGAACCGCAGGTCCTGTTAAAGCCTGAGTCTGTGAGCCATGGGCACTGGAATGAGTAAGGTATGTGGTAGACGTGGGGCGTGTGTGTTGACAGTGTTGCCGAGGGAGAGAGATTTGGAGAGGCAGATCTTTGCAGCTTGCTGAAATCGATTGGATTTCTCGATGAAATTGCAGACTGTGCCTTTGGGCAGCTCGCGTTTCCCACCGATGTAGTGACAGCAAGGCTGACATTCTCAAAACATCAGGGCATTTTGATCGGAAGTGAGCAGGGTGTCTCCGCTACGTGTTAAATACCGCTTGAGGGAGCCTCGTAAAAGTTCACCAACTGCACCCTCACCATCCGCCCCCACCCACTAAACTCAAACGTGCAAACAACAGTTTCTGATCGTCGGTCGAAATAATCTTTGTGAGGGGGTTGGGGTGGTGAACGGAGAGTTGAATAGCCCCTAAAGTCAGGATTTGCTGTCCCTGCTTTGGGACTGAACTCCACCCTCAAGTCCCAGACAGAAAGCTAACATGTTGTTCATCCAGCGTTGCCTCGGAATGGGTTTGTTGTGGCAACCAACAAAAATAAAACACAGGGTTCACAGGAGAGGTTACTCTTGAAACCACTGATGTATTTTAAGGGATGAGGCGAGGGAGAAGACTGCCCTCGCCGTGGCTGAACTCCTTTATCCATTTGGCCCAAGGGACCTGCATTTTTCATCAGTGCCCAACGAGGGTCGTGAGTTAAATACGACCCCCTGTGGACAGCAAGGACACTCAGACTGGTATCAATCGGGGGAAATGCACGCGTCTTGTCCACAGCACGCTGTCCTTCAATTTAAATCCTTCCAACTGTGTTACTTCTTCCCGATTTCTACCCCACTCCCCTTCCCTCAGAAATGTGTGTATAAACACCCACCTGTCTTAAAAAGAAAAATGCTGTGGAGATGGCGGTGTTGGACAAGGTCAGACAAGTTTTCAAATAAACCTGTTGGACTCTAAACTGGTATTGTTTGACTTCTGACCTTAAGAGAGGCATGCTCTTGTGGTTTATATTCTCCTCAAAACAAAACGAGGTGAAGTGATTCGTGCCAACCTTTCTAAAAAAAGTGTACTGGCCTTGCTATTCTGTGCTCTTCTCATGCACAGAAGATATGCAGTTATTTAGTTGTTCAAAAACGCTGTTAGCATTTCTTCAGTGAATGTATTTGGAAGTTAGCACAGCATTGTGGTGCTGCGTCTGGTCTCAGCAGGCAACTTGGCAGTTGTTCTTGCGGCAGGCTATTCTGGGAGCTTGGTCTGTTTAAATATATCTCCATGTACTCAGGCCATGGGATACTTACAGTGAGTGCAGTAACAACTCTTCCAAACTTTAACAGGTCCACATTTTATCAGCCCAGTGACATTAGGTATGGAATATAAGTTAATAGAAAATCGACATATTTCAATGAGTAATGATGCTCATTTGAAGAGCTGGCGCAGACATGATGGGCTGATTGGCCTCCTTCTGCATGGTAACACTTCTGTAATTAGTGTCATACTGTGCTTTGGAATAAAGCATGGGGTTGCTTGTAGACTTGATCGTATGAAAGATTGATTGATCAGAAACTGAACTGGACCAACCATATGTAAATAATGTGGCTGCAAGAGCAGGTCAGAGGCTGGGCATTCTAGAGTGACAAATACACTTCCTGTCTTCCAAAGCCTTTTCTACTATCTACAAGGCACAAGCCAGGAGTGTGAAGAAATAATCCCCACTTGCCTGGATGAGCATCTTTCCAATGAAACCCAACATGTTCAACCCCATCAAAGACAAAGTAGCCTGCTTGTTTGGCGTTTTGTCCTTGGTCGTACCATCTCCACCATTGACAGTCTGTGGCAGCAGAATATTATCATCTACAAGACACACTACACCAAAGCTTCTTTGACAGCATCTCCAAAATTTGTGATGATTCCAATCTGGATGGACAAGGGCAGCAGGCCCAACTGAACACCATCAACTGCAAATTTCCTTTTAAATCATTGCATTATTTTGATCTGGAAGCATGTCACCAATCTGTGACTGGCACTGGGTCAAAATATTGGGAATTCCCACCTAACAGCTAAGGCCCAGATCTGCTCACAGTACTTTAAATGGGATCCAACTAGGTGTTTTTATTACTGCAGCATAATGTTTGCATCTTAATACTCCAGCCCTTTAGCTATGCAGGCCAGCATTCCATTAGCCTTCTTGACTATTTTCTGCAACTGTTCATGGCATGTTAAAGAGCTATGCGCCAGAACCTGCAAATTGTGTTGGACACCCAGTGAATTTAACTTTGTGCCTTCTAAAAAAAACCCTGACCGATCCCTTTCTGGTTTGAAATAGATATCCTTACACTTGCTCATATTAAAATCCATCTGCTTTGCCTATTCACTAAATCTATCAATATTTTGTTGTATTTTTATGTTGCCATCAACACTATCTACATACTGCCCAATTTTGTATTGTCAGCAAATTTGAATATTGACTTTTTATGCCATTCTACAAGACGTTAATGAATATTGTGAATAATTGAGGCCCCAACACAACTAGTCACCTACTGCCAATTTGAGTACTTACCCATTATTCCAACACTCTGTTTCACGTCATTCAACTAATTTTCTATCTATGTCTGTAATTTGCCCTCAGTTCTGTGACCTTCAACCTTAGTTAACAGTCTCTTGTGTGTGGTACTCGATCAAAAGCTTTCTTGAAGTCCATATAAACAACATACCTACCTCTGTCAACCACCTTTCCCACCTGTTCGAAAAACTCTACCAGGTTTGTCAGGTGTGACCTACTGTTCATGAATCCACGCTGACTCTCCCTAATTAACTGAAATTTATCGAGATGATCAGTTACTCTATCCTTGATAATAGACTCCCAACAATATCCCCACCATAAATGTCAGGGTAATTTGTCTGTAATTCCCTGGTTTCCCTCTGTGACTCTTCTTAAATAGCAGTGTTTTTTTTAATAGAATCCCTACAGTGTGGAAGCAGGCCATTTGGCCTATTAAGCCCACACTGACCCTCTGAAGAGCATTCTACCCAGACCCACCCCCCCCCACCCTATTTCTCCCTGTTAGCCTGCATTTTCCATGGCCAATGCACCTGACCTGCACATCTTTGGACTGTGGGTGGAAACCGGAGCACCTGGAGGAAACTCACACAGACACGGGGAGAATGTGCAAACTCCACACAGGATGGAATCAAAACCAGTACCTGGCACTGTGAGGCAGCAGTGCTAACCACTGAGCCACTATGCTTTCCTTCATCCCATGCCATTTCCCCGTGGTCATTGACAATATCCCTGATTACTATTGCTCTGCCTTTTCATAGTTGCCTAATTTCAACATTCATACAATCTAGTTCTTCTGAGCTGCTACCAGGTGATCTGTGTATGACGCCTGTTGTGGATTTAGTTCCTTAATGTTTCCTCATTCCCCTCATTACATTCTCATTCACCATAGAAGTGATTCTATTTCTAATCAGTAATGTTACTGCATCTCTTCTGCCCTTTTCTGTATCCCTTCTGTAAAGCTTAAAAGCTGATATGTTTAGTTCACAGTCCTGACCAACCCGCAACCATCTCTCTGTAATGGTTACTACACCATAGTTTCCATTCTGAATCTGAGCCTGCAGCTCATTTAATTTGTTCCTTACACTCTGTGCATTTGTATAAAGAACTTTAATTTTGGCTGTACAGTCTATTCTGTCCTTCAGCACCTTTTTATTATTTTTCCCTTCTGTCTCACTTGATATACTTTTTATAGTCCTGCCTTGTTCATCCTATTAACCTGGACCATCTTCTCACATTGCTGATGTACTGCACCAGTTCCCACCCCCTCCCCCCCCCCACCACCCCCACCACACCGCCAACCCCCCCCACCCTCCCCCCAGCTATTCTAGTTTAAATCCTACTGGCTCTGGCAAACCTCCCTGCAAGGGTATCAGTTTAGGTGCAACCCATCCTTTTTGTACATGAATGTGGGCACAGTTACAATGTTTAAAAGTCACTTAGATAAGTTCATGAATAGGAAAGGTTTGGAGGGATATGGGCCAGGTGCAGGCAAGTGAAACTAGTTTAGTTTGGGATTATGTTTGGCATGGACTGATTGAACCGAAGGGTCTGTTTCCATGCCGCGTGAGTCCATGACTGTATGTCCCCACCTACGCTGGAATAGAGGAGTGGAGTGTGCAGAAACATATGCCATTTAACCTGGCAAAGCAGTTTAACTGGAGAAAGACAAATACTACAGTTGATTTTACATCTCGAGGCATAGAACACGAAGACAGTGATGATATGTTGAATTTGTGGCATGGGCAACATGCCCTTTCAAATATATGTTGTAGTTTGGAGCTGTGTTCGATGCTTCAATGGTCTTTCCATCACATGGCTGAACAAGAATCTCTCCCATTCTTACCACTTGCCATTGGTGTATGATGGAAGGATTTGGAGATTGAGTATCAATCAGTAGGGCAGTGTTATGAATACACATTCCTTATCCACCAGTCCTGCAGTAGGATTTGAACCCGTAGCTTCTGACTCAGAGGTGTGGATATTTGCCACAAGATCTCTTGTGCTGAATTTGAACAAGCTGCTAATTATATTGCAGCTGAAAAATTGCAGTCAGTTTATGGTCAGACTGCCATTGCACGTTCTCAGAGTAGCTGAAGCATTAGGCTGGAAGTGTCCGTTTCACAGGGTATAGAGCTCGTGCATGTTGAGGGAAAAGTGCTTCTTTCCCTCCCCTTGTCTCAAAGGTGCACCGTTCACTGGAGTTCATTACCACAGCAACCAGCGGCTGCTCAGACATGGCCATTCATTGGGCATTCCTGGAAAGATATGATAGTGCTTAAAAAGATATCATTTCACTTTGGGACACTGAGGAAGACTGAAGGATATTGATTTAGTGTCTAATTGGAAAGATGACTCCTCTGTTAATGCAGAAGTCCCTCAGTACCTGACAGGAGTGTCAGTCTAGATTATTTACTGAATAACCTGATGTGAGATCTGCATGCACAATCTCTGATTGAGAGGCGAGACTAGT